TCCTGACTTCCACGTCGCCCACCGCGTGCGGATCCATATATGCTCTGTCCAGAACATTTCAGGACACGCCTCCATATCCTTGATCTGTCCCCAGACATGCGATCCTCTTTTAGTGTAACTTTTAATATTGAGATTTTCACGAATTTACCACAGACTTATTCTTCTACGCGTGAAAAGAGCCCGAAAACTTTGTAACAATACATTTGAGCGCCACAAACTGAACATGAAGCCCAGAAAACCCGATTTTCACCCACAACTGAGCATTTTTCAGAGCCCCGGCAATGCTCTCCAATGCTATGTCGGTCTGAGAGCCCCCGGAGCTGGAGTAAACGTCGGAGCTGAGGTGAGACGCTTTACTGGATGATTTATTTCGGATCATCAACTCCTTGGTTAAGGTTTACTGTGACGGTATGTGCTCATCATTGAGCGGAATCGTGAACGGTGACAACATCACCACTTTCCAATGTGTACCAACCTCTATTTGCAAGTGAGTTGTCGGGGACACCTGAATTTTCCTCGTCGGCAACAAAGAATTGCTCAGATCGCTCGCCATTGACAATGCCTGCACCAGCCTGCCAGGAGATCGTGAAGTCAGCGGATGTTGCTGCGACTATGCAAACAGCTGTAATCTCCAGCTGTCAAACAATACAGACGTTAGTTCCTTCGAGTTTACTGTAACTCACTGGGTGAAGGAGGGAAACGGTAGAAGCCGGCATTCCCAATTTTCAAAATTTAAGATCGTGCCTCCTTCACCACCACCGAATACCGAGTTCCCAATCTCTTGTTGGTCTGGAATTTATTTGAATGGCAACGCTTTGACCTCAGCTGGGTGAGTTCAATGCATCAGTTCACAACTTCACAAAAGAATTTTACAAGACGTTATTCTCTTCAGATTCCGGTCCTGCCAAGGAGAATGCGCCTCAGTGACACTCCAGACAACGTTGAATGGTCAACAGCACAATGCCACCATTTATATGTGTGACCCGACCTCCGTCTGTCAAGCCCTCAGTGAGTTTTTGGGCTGACCGCTGGGCTCGGTTCCTATTATGATTGTCCCTGAGATGTGCTACCTTCAGACATGACCAACAGATGTCACACGGTTGAACCCGGACTCTCTGGTTGCTGTTGTAACGACGATGGTTGTCTCTCACCAAAGAAGGTAACAGAGCATCTATCAGAGCATTGCCCCCTTAAAACTCCTCAAATGATGTGATTTCAGTCTCCCAACAATCCGCTCACATGCTACGTGGGTATTCTTGCACCAAAAGCTGGAGTTAATGTTGGAGATGAGGTGATTATTTATTCCAAAAATGGCTGAAAAATTGATATGGACCCTTTATAAGGCATCCTTCAGGTGCGTTGCAATGGAATGTGCTCTTCACTGAATGCCATGGTTAACAACGACAACGTCACCACCTTCCAGTGTGTACCAACCAGCGTTTGCAAGTAAGCACTTTATTACCATCCTTGGCACAGTGGTAAGAGGCGTAAGCGGCAGACTATCTCTTCTTCTTGATCTATTGGATCGAATCTCCAGTTCACCGAGACTGTATGGTTACTTCATTATCATGCAGACATGACAAGCCTCCCGATAAGAGGAACTAGGGCCTGGCTTTTCATTCCTCGGAGAGGAAGGAGTGGACTGGACAGAAATTTTGCTTCAAAACGATCCTCCAACTCTTTTCACCCTTCTGGGTGAAAGGGCGAAATACCCAACCACATGGGAAGAATCACTGAATTTTCATAGCTACAACGCCCAGACATCTCTGGAAATGCCAAAAACGGATGGGTGGCGATCCGCGGTTTGGTGCGAAGTCGTGTCCGGTAGCGGAATCTAACTCCAGATTATTCTTCTACATATACCACTTCCTCTTTCGAAGCTTCCGAACAGAAGTCGAGTGCATGGCGCATCTATGAAGGAATCATATACACATTGTGACACCCACAAATGGTCTATTTGTAGGGCATTCGCTGCTGACAATGGTTGCTCCTCGATCAAAGGTGACCGTGAAGTGACTGGATGTTGCTGTGACACATCCAATGGATGTAACGCTGCTGCGTACAATGTAGGAGCTTTACTAATCTTTGATATTTGAGAAGGAGGAGCCAAACTCCATTTTAAGCTCACTCCTCCGACTCCATCGCCTCGACCAGAGTTCCCGATCTCCTGCTGGTCTGGTATTTACGTAAATGGTCAACCCCTTTCGCCACCCAGGTATCCTAAATTTGAAATGAAGATTTCAAGAACAAAAGTATGTCGAGCATTGATTTTAGCTTCCAATCATGTAGCGGCGAATGCGCCTCTTTAACAATCAGCACCGTTTTCCAAGGACAAAACCACACCGCCACAATGTACACCTGCGATCCTTCAGATGTATGCAAAACACTTGGTGAGCTCCTTCATCCCATCAATTCATCTGCTCAGGAGGGTGCGTTTCATTTTGCGCGTCCATCGAAAATAGGTCACGCCGCAGCCGTCGCAAGCGGCGCGTTAGCCCGCGATTTTTGACAGATGTCGCAGTTGTCAGTGGGGCATACGATTGGCGCTCGGTCCAAGGCAGCCAGCCTAAACAGAAGATAACATGGCCTAACGTAAATCGTCGCTCCACTGACACTTAGAGGTACTGTAATGTCATCTCGAGATCGCATGGGCTGCGTCGCGCGCGAAGTGGGCGGGGTGACCTAGTTTCGACGGACGCGCGAAACGGATGTTACCCCTGCCCGAATCTGCAGCTTCAACCCCCGAAGGCAATTCACATCTAAATCGCAAAGTTAACTCAGAAATAAAGTTTCTACAAAAAAAACGTAGAGAAATTGGTTTAGGAATCGTCAACAACTGCACTGACATCGAACCAGGAATTAGCACTTGCTGTTGTAACACCGACGCCTGTCTTACGCCAAGGAAGGTCAGTCAACAACTCTTCAGAATGTTTCAAATTTAACCTATCCATCGTAGCAAGAGTTTCAATCAGTAGGTAAAACTTAAACACTTAAGGCGTACCCCAATAAGAAGCCATTGTATTTTTGCGTCCCACTACGATCATTCATTTATTTGGAACCTTTAGAATTTAAAAAAAAATGTTTTGTGCTGAGAATAAGCATGGATAATGGTGCAACCANAGAGCCCTTGGAACAGCGAAGTAAATCTAAAGGGTTCTACTTGGGTCAATATCGATCGGTGCGATGTCCGGAACGCGTTGCGACCGTGCGCCATCGTAACAGCTTCTTAGCACACAGTGCAAATACTGATTTTTCTTAGCGGAAAATTCCTCTTGACTGCATCAGAAAGCCAACCAATTATACTCAGCTATTTTCAGAAGCCTGGAAAGCCACTACTATGCTACGTTGGTCTGAATGCCCCACTTGCCGGAGTGAACGTTGGAGCAGAGGTACCGAATTTTCATAGCGATTCCTAACGATACCTGGGAAATGCCATCACCTACAGGTTGCCTGTAATGGAATGTGCGCTTCACTGCGTGGAATTGTCAACGGAGACAACGTTACGACATTCCAATGTGTACCTAACCAAGTGTGCAAGTGAGTTCTTTATTCGAACTTTTTAAAAATACGGACATGGGTCAAAACATGCCATTTGTGTCACCGCACTAGAATTAGGTCAACGCGAGCGACTGCCCGGGAGCGCAGGAGTCGCGCGCGGCGACAGTAATCTAACCCGTAGAAAACCACCAACCCCAAACAATCTCGTTTCCAGGACATTCCTTAACCGGGACGGATGCGCCTCACTACAAGGTGATCGTGAAATTACTGGATGCTGCTGTGATGAGCGAGACAGTTGTAACTTCCACATGTTGAACAGAACTGATGTGAGTTCGTCTTTGATACAGTAACCGATCAATACCTATAGATTGTTCATATTTTAGATAATAATGCCCACTCCAAGTCCAATTGTGGAGTTCCCCATTTCATGTTGGACTGGAATTTATGTGAATGGCAATCCTCTCACTACCGCTGGGTGAGTAAAACTGCCCGAATCCTTGAAAGGTCCTCGAAATAAGCTATATGCCTTACCAGATTCACGACCTGTAATGGCCAATGTGCTTCTGTCACCTTGAACACCACCCTCAATGGAAACTTCCACACCGCCTCAATTTACATGTGCGATCCCACAGCTGTCTGCAGGGCTCTGAGTACGTTCGGTCACGCTTATTATGGAATATCTTCGAAAGCCGGCTCTTGATACCATATATTTCAGACATGACCAACAGATGCGATGTGATCGAGCCAGGAGTCGGTGGATGCTGTTGTGATACTGATGCCTGCATTTATCCTCCAAAGAACAGGGTCAGACCACTGTTTCCATGGAATGTGGTCAGGACGTGCCACTTAGGTCGCCTAGACAGAACTGAGCCGCGTAGTAGTGGGAGCAGCGATTTCGCCCAGTTGTGTCGGGACTCTCAATCTCCAACGGGTGAAGGAGAGGGGTCCTGCAACGACTAGCCAAGATCACTGCACCCACCAAGACGTAGCTTCACGAGGCGATGGCACATCATGGCCCATACCATTTCACTATCCTCCATAAAGCCCCTCAAAAACGCATGATATTTCAGAGCCCTGGAAATCCCCTGATGTGCTACGTCGGATTATATGCTCCCAATGCAGGAGTCAACGTAGGAGGAGAGGTATGTACCTCAGAAACTTAGACTTTGCTGAGATTAGGATCTTTTGGAGCTCCCAGAAAACTATTTCTCGTTCAGGTGTTCTGCAATGGTCAATGCTCAACTCTTACCGGAATCGTGAACGGAGACACTATCACCACATTCCAATGCTCTCCCATAAGTATATGCAAGTAAGTCTCTACCAGCTATACTCAGAGTTCTTCCGACTAGTAATCTGGCTGTGGAGCGAATACTACTGAACCCTACTTTACAGGAGTCTCGAAATCGACAACGCCTGTACCACACTGCCAGGAGATCGTGCAATTTCCGCTTGTTGTTGCGACAGTAGCAGTAACTGTAACATTGCCAATTACGCCGTACGTACCAAACTATTGATCGTTATCGATTGGTCAGGAAAAACTTGCCATTCAGATGATCATTCCACCTAGACCATCACCACCTGAAGTGCCAATTTCTTGCTGGAGTGGTATAACCGTCGATGGAATGCCAGTTACTGAAGCTGGGTTCGTGACACTTGAGTTCCAACTTTTTCTCTTAAACTTCACCGACTAGGATGTAGGCAGGCTAGAAGCCAGACAGCAAGAGTTCACACTGTTTCTATCACGCTAATGTCAAAACACGTGCAGCATCAAGCGCTTAGAACGTTCGTATGCTAGCGTGGTATTTTTTTCGCCCCGACGACAGATAAATTACTGATCTTTTGCCCTCAGACAGCCTCCAAGAAAAATGCTGAAATTGCAGATTTACCACCTGCTATGGAGAATGTGCTTCGATCACCCTCCAGACGACTATGAACGGCCAACAGCACAACGCTAGTATCTTCATGTGCGACCCTACCGCTGTCTGCCAAGCTTTGAGTGAGCTGATTTTCCCATCTAGAAACACACGATTCCCATTCGAGTAATGTAGTCCATTTACTAACAAAAACTCTTTTGCAGACATGACCAACACCTGCTCGACGATCGAACCAGGAGTCAGTGGATGCTGTTGTAATACTGACGCCTGTCTTGCACCATGGAGGGTATGGCTACTCATTTTTCACTCGATTTCTTGTAAAAATGAATCGATGTTTCAGTCTCCAACGGATCAACTTTACTGCTATGTTGGTATGCATGCTCTTAAGGCTGGTGTCAACACTGGAGCTGAGGTACTGTATCAGGACATTTGGTAATTCACAACAAAAAAAACTTATCGTAAGTGGCGTTAGCATGACCTGGGACCCGATTATAAGCAGAACGTTTCTTGTGATCTTTGGATTCCCGCTTTACCTTTTATGGGGCTTCTGATTCTGATGACACATCCACCCGCTACCGTGGTGGCTCACGCCTGGACTGCAGAAGGAAGTACTCTTGAGTGCAGGACCTTTTAGGTAGACCAAATGTGAGTTCACCCTCGCCAATCCCCGTACAAGCCGGATTTACCATCTGAAGCAGTAGCTATCTTGAGAGAAAATCAAATTTCGTGAGGTGGGGAAAAGGGGGAAGGGAAAGGGTCGGTTCAATCCCTTCTAAACTTGGTAATAGTACTGACAAAGCTTCTTCAGGTTCCCTGTAATGGCAGATGCTCATCACTGAGAGCGATGATCAACGGTGACGATGTTACCACCTTCCAGTGCATGCCAACATCCGCCTGCTCGTGAGTGGAAACCTTCATAAATCTACCCCATTAAAGATGCTCAGAAAAAAATGTCCCTTAAGAAAATATAGCCAATCCTTCCAGATATCTCGGTGCCGATTTCGGCTGTAACCGTTTACAAGGTGATCGTGAAGTGGTCGCTTGCTGTTGTGATTACGCAAATGCCTGTAACGTTATGAACAGAACCGATGTAAGGGTTTCTATCGAAGGTTGAACAAGTTAAAGTAGAAGTTGAGCCATTTAGATCGTGATACCTACTCCATCACCAATCGTGGAGACCCCAATTTCATGCTGGTCAGGAATCTACGTCCACGGAACTCCAATCACAAGCGTTGGGTACGGTTCTCTCAAACTTTTTTCAAGGGGGAAATCTACGAGTGGCTAAATACCCCGTTATCATGTGCGTGGACCTGAAAGACTCAGTAAAAAAAATTGGTCCACTCATTGTCTGGGCTCCTTGAGCATCTCCGAGAGGAACCTCCAAGGAATGGTTTATGAACAGTCCTAGAATCCTAGACGTCTCTAAAAGAGGACCAGAATTTCCGTCAGTAGATGTTAGCCACAGAGTACTCAGCCTTCTTCGAAGAGTACTCAGCCTTCTTCGATTTGCTCAGATTGAACGGGACAATTGTCTCTCACAGTCAAAGACCTCTATGAAGGGGTTCCCCTGTAACTGGAAGGACTAATCGCCTTCCAAATTAATCTCTTTATACTACCCTTGGGACTTATCCTTCGGCCCTTAGTAATGAAAAACTTAATCGGGCCAAGGGGGACCTAATCGCACGCTCTGAATATAAGTAACAGCATCCTTAGCCTCTGCTTTCCCTGCCCCAGCTTCCGCATAATAGGCTTGAGGCAATGAGGCCTTATTGGGACCAAGGAGCATGCGTTTGAGCCAACACCAAATCCTGCAATTTCAGCTACTCGACGTGCTATGGAGAGTGCGCTTCGGCAACACTCACAACCAATATCAATGGAGAACAACACACTGCCGAAATCTACACTTGTGATCCGACATCCGTTTGCAGTGCCATCGGTTAGTTCCAAGTTTGGAGAGCAGGAGCTGGGTTAGGGGCTGCTCCGTTGTTGCTTGCCTCTTTGGTTCGCTCCAAACCCAACTGCCGAGTGCTCTTTTGAGGGTAGACTTCTTAGGATAATACTTATTCAGGCATGATCAACAACTGTATGACTGTCGAACCGGGAGTTCAAGCTTGTTGCTGTAACACCGACGCCTGCCTTACACCCAAACGAGTTTGTTACCCTTCATGGATCACATTTTGTTTTTTTTTCTTTTGACATATTAGCTTCTGGCATTTTAGAAACCTGGAAGAGTACTCTGGTGTTATGTTGGTCTCTATGCTGCTAAGGCCGGAGTTAATGTTGGAGGAGAGGTAGGGATCGGTCTCAATCAGAGCGACTTGACTACCCTACTCCTTCTGTTCAGGTCGCTTGTGATGGCCAATGCTCATCGTTGAGCGGAATCGTAAACGGCGATAATGTGACCACCTTCCAATGTGTTCCTAACACGATCTGCAGGTGAGTAGCCTAGACTTTCCAAAAAGGCATCCATACAACATAATGTCATTACAGGTCCCTCGGTATCGGACAAGATTCAGGCGGTTGCGTTCCCCTACCGGGAGATCGTGAAGTCAGCGCATGCTGCTGCAGTGACCAGAACAGTTGTAATGTGTACCGACTTAACAGAACCGACGTGAGCACGACATTTTTTTCTGATTGGATTTTTTGCCAAGATTTTGACAAATTCCAGATTACCCCAGCGACCCCATCACCTGTACAGGAATATCCGATCTCTTGCTGGACTGGAATATATTTGAACGGAAATGCTCTTACCTCGGCTGGGTAAGTTATACCTAGAGAAACGGTTAGAGGTATAAACTGAGTATTTGCCTTTGCAGATTCTCTACTTGCTACGGTGAATGTGCTAGTGTGTCTCTACAAACCACCTTGAACAATCAACAACACAACGCTACTATCTACATGTGCGATCCGACATCAATCTGCCAGGCTCTCAGTAAGTTCCTACCTACCACTCAAACTACAAGCCATTGGCGATCCCACATTGGTCACATGGGAAACAAAACTTTCATGGCCTATGGTATTCAATGGTAACTGGGTTACCGACAAGGATTAGCTCACAGCTCGGCCGAGCACATGGGCACAGTATTTGGGACAAGTAACCTCGATTCAGGGACAGGAACTATGTACACTGAGCCTACTACAATATGAAAGCGAGCTTGACGAATCCCAGCTTTGTTCTCTACAGTAGAAATGCTATACAGTAGGAATACCGTACTGGGTACTCGCCAATCGATGATCAGCCAATGAGGCGCCCAGCAGAGACCACCCGATCCCGCCCCAGCTTGGAAATCGTAGTGTGAACTTCGTTCGCCACCTCCATTTCACCAAATAATACCCCTCTTGGTTTCCACGAGCGCCGGATCCACACTCACTTTATAACTCCTGTGAGCACTAGTCCAAACCCAAAAGATATTCCTTCCAATTCGGGGAACGTCCGCGGAGTAACCGATCAAAGCCCAGTTTGACTATACCGTCTGATCCACGAGCAAATCTTTACCGAATCTTGTAGATATGTCCAACACCTGTGCCACTGTTGAACCAGGACTCTCCGGTTGCTGTTGTAATGATGACGCATGTCTCACACCCACAAAGGTAAACATAAACATCTTCTTAGATTTCGTCCCCATTACTATCCAGAAGAAAAACATTTGATTGCCTTTCAGTCACCTCTCAACAACCCTCTAACATGCTACGTTGGATTGAACGCCCCGAAAGCCCAAATAAACACCGGAGCCGAGGTTTGTAGAGCCTACCAATAATCAGGCAACAATCGAGAAGCCTTCAGGGGCATTTATAGCCATCGAGCCCTATCATACCCCTTCAGCTCCCAAATTTCAGGTGATTTGCCAAGGAATGTGCTCATCATTGAACGCCATTGTGAACGGCGACAATGTGACAACCTTCCAATGTGTGCCAAGAAGTGTTTGCAAGTACGTACGGTTATTAAAAGCCAATCCAATGAGGGAGATTACGGTAGGTAAAATCTTTCATTTTCAGGTCATTCGGCCTTGGTGTTGGCTACGGATGCCAAACTCTGAAAGGCGATCGTGAAGTGACTGGATGCTGTTGTGACAATGCAAACGGCTGTAATCTTGCTGCCAGACCAGATGTAAGCCCCATTTGCCAAACTTGGGAGGCCACCCGAAATAACCCACCAATTTCAGATCATTCAACCAACCCTTGCTCCCTACCAGGAGTTCCCTATCTCATGTTGGAGTGGAGTCTATGTGAATGGAATGCCCTTGTCTAACCCTGGGTTCGTCCGGCTTTCAACGATAAGGCAGGGTTACAGCTAAATCATGACCATTTCAGTTACTCGACCTGCCGAGGAGAATGTGCCTCATTGACGTTGGTCACCCAAATCAACGGTGTCACCCACAACGCCACCATGTACACCTGTGATCCATCAAGTGTCTGCAAATCTCTCAGTGGGTACCATTAATTCGCACAAGTAAAATCACATGCGAAATTTTCATGCGCTAGCGCAAGCCACGCCCCTCAGGGGCGTTCCTTCGGCATCTAACTGGCTCATGGTATTCTTCTTTAGATATGGACAACCAATGTACAACTTTGGAAACAGGAGTCAGTGGATGTTGCTGTAATACTGACGCCTGCCTCACTCCCAATAGGGTAAATAGTAGAAGAGATTGCGAAGTCAGAATGTGCTGTTATGGGTCTTTTCAGATTCCTGGAAAGAAACTATGGTGCTATGTCGGACTTATCGCAAAGAAGGCCGGAGTGAACGTGGGAGCTGAGGTAAGTTTTCGAAGAAAGGCGTTCAATACTTCACAGAAGTATGAACGACAATTACAGGTTGCTTGTGATGGAATGTGTTCGTCATTGAGCGGTACTGTCAATGGTGATGATGTCGTAACATTCCAATGTGTATCCAACAGACTGTGCAAGTGAGAAACGTATAACCCAGCCATTCACAGAGATATCGGATCTCAACATGATCCATTTCCAGGACCTTCCTGAACACAGATGGATGTGTCAAGTTGCAAGGAGATCGTGAAATCACTGGATGTTGCTGCCGCAACGGAGACAGCTGTAACGTTGCGCAACTGAACCGTACCGATGTGAGTTTTGGCCCAGGTTTTACTCGTGAAAATGGTCTGGGTAACATATGCCCTATGACCTAGATGAACACAAAAATTGAGCACTTCCCATAAAAGAACTAGTTGGGAGAGTCTGAATGGCAATGGTTGAAGCCTACCAAAGTAACCCTTTGCCCACAGACGATCTTCTCTCTAAAATGAAATTTTCATTCCTCTGACTCCTACACGATTCTGAGAAAAACCCTGAGATGAAGCCACACCTTTCGTGTTAGCATTAGCAAAATTCAGGGAACATTGGTTCCGCTGACCGGACCTGCTGACCTCTAAATACCGTAAATATCCTAGCTCTATCTTAAACGTCAACAGCTCAGGCCGTTTACTTTGTTAAAACATTTTAAATCATACGGGAGAAGTACGACCATGTAAGAAGCGATGATTAGGCTGAAGGGACGTTGAAGCGTCGAAGTGACGTCACGATGCAGCGATGGTCGATTCGCTTCCTATTCTCCCTACTAGTTCTAAGAGCTTACTCCCAACCCGATCGAGAACCCACCAGAGCCCGATTCGCAGAAGGATAGCCCGATAACTTCAGATTTGTCAAGTCTATGAGTATAATAGTGACGAACTTCCCAGATTCCGCCGTGATTCGGCCCTTCCACCCCGGAGCACGTACTGCATTAACCCCTATCTCAGATCATTCTACCAACACCATCACCCGTATCGGAATACCCCATCTCTTGCTGGAGTGGAATCTACGTCAATGGTCAGAGCTACAGTAATGCAGGGTAAGTTTCTAGACTGCTCACGGGTACGGTAACAGCGCATGACGTAGTGTAATTACAGATTCACTACTTGCTATGGCGATTGCGCATCGGTGACGTTGAGCACGTCTATCAATGGCCAGAATCACACAGCTACCATGTACATGTGTGATCCTACATCAGTGTGCAGAGCTTTGAGTCAGTCACCTGGTAATCTAAGGCGATCGAGGAAAGTGTCTAATTATGGCTACTTCAGACATGTCCAACCAATGTAATACTGTGGAACCAGGAGTCAGTGGATGTTGCTGTAACACTGATGGCTGCCTCAATCCTAACAACAACGTCGTAAGTAACACTAGGTCTTAAATTTGATGGCCATGGGTCAGGAGGCGCCATCGCGAGTGTTCCAGCGAAAACTAGGTCACCGCGCGCGCATGAGTCAACATAGCTATTCGTGTTAGAACTCGTCACTTTGGATGTCACTACGTTAATTTTGACTAGCGAAAAATGAAGGGTCCTGACACGAACAGCTGTCATCGCAACTCGTCCGACCTACCGCGACAACGCAACTTAATATTCAAAATATATTGAAATATTTAATACAAAATATTTGACTTTACAGTCTCCTGGAAATCCGTTGGTGTGCTACGTGGGAATCTATTACGAAAAGGATAACTACACTGTCGGATCAGAGGTAAGAGATCAGTTCTCAATAGAGGCATATGTCCCGAAGCGTCACGCCCAAAGGCGCGTGTTCAAAGTCGACGCTGCGCAAATCGATAATCATTTAGATGCCTTGTGCTGGCAAATGTGCATCGCTCCAAACGACTTTCGGAGGAAAAATGCTTAAGAGTTACCACTGTGCTCCGACACAAGTTTGCAAGTACGTACCGTATAACAATACTATCAGGTCCCGTAACGAATGTGTGTAATCATTTAGGCAAATTGCTGACAATGGCTGTACAAAGATCTACAAAGACAGTGATGTGGTAGGATGCTGTTGTGATACCTCAAACAACTGCAACGTGAAGGAACCAATCAGCACAAACAATACATTCCCGCCGGTGGGTCCTACAAGGAACTCGAAGAGTCTGTATCGTTGCTGACGAGTTAGGTGTGATTTCAGTTCACCGGCACACCCATTGCTTGCCAATCAGGAATCTATGTTGATGGAGTGCCTCTTACAAAGGATAAGTGAGTTTTGTAGCTAGCTTCTTTCACCCTTGGGACTGCCTTCTCGGTAGACGCCTATGAACATGTATCGATTCCACACGCGTAAAATCAATAATCATCTTTAAGCATGTAGATTAGTCAGATAGACTGAACAGTAAAGGGTGACTTTCAAAAACCCGTGGATCAAGAAGTCTAAACGAGACTTTGTAGCACCTTCATCGCCTGCAAGGGACAATGCGCCAAATTGTCGTACGCTACCAATCTGTCTGGAGTTTCACACACCCTTGATATCTACTCATGCGACCCAGCCAGTGTATGCACCGGACTCGGTATGTTTCCGTTACTCACACAGGAGAACTGTGCCATTCTACCTCCTTGCCAGCTCACTATGTCCCACGCCCCAATTCCAGGACTGTCGAACGGTTGCTCAACAATTGATGGAACGAATGTCTCCGGTTGTTGTTGTGACTATGACGGTTGTGTGACACCAGCCAGCAACCCCACTCCTAGACCAGGATCCGGATCCACGCTTTCGATGTTCATCGTGTTCATCGCTGCTGTATATACACTTCTCAGGCAGTAGTAATTTGTTAGCGTTCCGGCATAGTTCTATACATATTTTCTATGATATTTGTTGTTGTCTTATGAACCTTATGAATAAAATATTAAAATCTTAACATTTTGGTTTTGAAATTAAAAAACGATGAGAAAATTCATCAACTAATATTAATTCAATTCATGTTTAATCGGTTACAAGGTCCCCGTACAATCATTGAAGCAAAAGTTAAATGAATAAATAGGTAAATAAATAAGACCATAAAAGGACCTCATTATTAGGTCACTGGAGTGAGCCCAGCAGTATGGATAAAATGGGAATTGTATATTATTTGGGAGTTAAACCTAATCATTCCATCATTATACGCAAAGGAATGAAACCAAGCTTATGGCTAGAAGTTGAGAATAAATTATTTCCTTAAATTTTAGTGAACCACCGATTTTTCTTAACACACACGTCTAATGCATTTCATTTCGATGATTCTAGAAGAGCACATAAGGTCACATAGCAGCTCTCCATGTGACCTTGTGTGCAAGCCCTTCACAAAAAGTTCAGCCTCCTCGATTATTTTGAGCTGGAAGCCTTGCTCCAATATAGGAAAATACGGTGAAATTTTTCGAAAATAAACCAACAACAACACAAAACTCGGAAAGAGGAAAAACAGCCGAAAGTGTTAGTAAGATCAGGTTCCGACTAGCCTGAACTCCCTACCTTCGACGAGCTCGACGATTCGAGGAGATGATTCAAAATTTGATCTAATTGAGTATGTTTTCCAGAAAGGCACCTCTGATTTGCGCTCGCATAACTACGAAAAAAAAACAAAGTGTTAAATATATAAACAAAAATAACAAACAACACTTACCGTGAGCAGCAACATGATGACATGGGTAGAGGTCCTTTTCTTGCAATAGTCATGGATACCATGAGTTGCTACATAGCAAGACATTTTGCATATTCCGAGATGGGGCTATATAACCCTTCGATGAGGAAAGCTTCTGAAAAACGACTTCTCTTAAAGAAAAGTTGAAAAACAAACTGAGACCAATTTACGTGCCTTTGGAGTTTACGAGTCGAGTAACTGGGAAAATCATTGAAAGGGGTAGGTTTCGGGTGAAACTGTCTCCCTTCTTACAGCGTTGATTAAGCCATCGTTGGCACAAGCTCCACAAATCGAAGAGGAAGGAAATCAGAAGTTAGCAGAGAGCGATCGGTGCATATTAATCGGAAAAAAATAGGACATTTTATAAGTTCTATCTGAAAACGCTGTTTCTGAAGCCATGCGAATCGAGCCCATCGTCCCTTCAACGGAGTATTTATTATCTTCAGACGTCGAAAGCTAAGAATACTCGAGACAGCTCGGTGCGTCCACAGCTTACTATGAGGGTTCTCTGATTCCTCAAACTGGCTCAATTTTGTTAACACCACTCCTTTCCCAGCACTAGGTTGCTTTACCGCAGCCATGTGGTCCAAAAGACAAGTTGAAATCGCGAATTCAGGCCAAGGTCGCCGCGGGCGCGGGAAGTTCGCGCGCGATGGCGCCTCCTCACTCACACCGCCATATCAATACTGAAGCCATCGAGAACACTTTTCCACAGTTCTCTCAGGCCTCAATGTAGAAACGATGAGGCGACCTCTACATGTACCGGATCTGGTTTCTAATACCTTTTCGTTTCTATTCATTGCACCCGAGGATATGATCGCATATTTATGTTTCCCAAAGTAATAGGCTTCACTCAACCTTATTACTTATCTCTTATTCTAAACTATAAAAAATATGTATTTATAAATACACACAAGCAATACTTTCTCATCAACAACAATCTGTAACACAACAATGAAAAACATAACAATTACTAGCCATACTAACAACAACAATTTGGAAAATGTAAACAACATTAATTCCTTTTTCGCTTTAGCGCTTTCGACTTTTTCCATTTTCTTTTGCCTTTCTTGCCCGCACTCGTTTCTTCTTCTTCAAAATCTTCCAGGAGGGCAGCAAACTGAAAATAAACAGAATAAACTCAACTCAATCGGGAGAGGAGTCGGAGGAGTTGCTTCTCCGAGTAATGTAAAAAGCACTTTATTGCAAGGCAAAACTGACTATAATAAAGGATAAAGTTATCGCGCGTTGATCACTACCTTTTTTGGAATGCGCCATGTATTTGAATTACATTAGAATCGTAGAGGCTACTTGAAAGCGTATATGGCCTATACAATGACTTGCGGTGGCCAGCCAACATCCAGATCAGTGCTTTATACTCTCAGACGAGTTTGCTACCAATTAACCGACCCCAACGAGTTGAAAAGCTTGGTCGGCTCGGGCGAACGTCGATTCCGGATTCGATCTCCAGACCATGCATTCGTGATAGTGCGCCGCTTGCTACCACACCACCTCCGCCCCAAAATCAACTATAACTTGACAAGTAACAGTTATACCTTCTCGCCAGCTGCATTCGCATCGTTTCCAACCATCTCATCATCGCTGTCATCACTGTCACCAAAATCTGCCTTATTTTTCTTTGTTTCGCGTCCACCTGCTTCAGCATCATCGGAATCAGATTCCATTTCAACCTCGTCATCGTCATCCTCCATATCTTCGTCATCTTCCTGAAAATCAAAACAATCAAAAAGCGCCCGAGACAGCAGGAGCCTCCACCTTCTCTAGTAATCATTACAAAATGGATTTCTCACCTCATCGTCTTCTCCTCCTTCGTCTTCTTCATCATCATCTAACTCAAAGTCCACTTCATCATCCTCTCCATCTTCCTCTTCCGCTGCTCGTTTTACAGCTCGCGGTTTCTTCTTTTCACTTGTGAATTCCTTGGTGTAATCCACGTCGAACTCTTCGTTGGCCTCGCCTGGCTCAAATTTATCTGGAACAGAAGGCTGGGTCATTTTTGGCAACGAGGACTTTTGAAGCCTTAATGGCTATTACACACCAATAATTGCATCGAACTCAGCCGAATCGACACTTTCGATTTCCCAGTCATCCTCCTCTTTCTTTTCCTTCTCTTGTGGGTGGAATTTCAATGAGGCAAACCGATGAAGATAATGTTCGTCAGCCGGTAGTTCACTAGGCTTCTTCGATATGTACTCCTAAAACTGATGAAATTGAGCATGACTATCGTTTTGATGAAGATAATTTGCTGACCTTTGAAGAGACTGGTAACTTCTTAACTCCCCATGGATCGAATTGTTTCTTTCTGAGCACGCGGGTAGTAGAGGAATCCTTCTAAATAGGGAAAAACAAGCTAACCGGAATGAAAATGAAAAAAAGGGAAGGTCGTGAAAGAGAACGACCTCTTATCAAAAAAACTCACTGAACGATTTTCTTTTGGATTCTTGAAAGCAAAGCGATCCAGGAACTTCAACAAAGTAAAATCTTCAATGGGATCTCCTTTGTAATTGATGCAGCCGTCCTTAAAAAGTGTAAGAAGTTTTTTTTTTCAATCGGACCATTTAGGATACACCCTTGCGGACCTGATCAATACTATCCACCTAGACCGAAAAGAAGGTATCCTGCGCGCACTAAAGCCACAACCTTTCAATCAGAAGACCTTTCGTAATCTGTTGGGACGCATTATGGTAAGGAAACCACCGTCAACTCAATTTCCCGTTAGTCTGGTCAATTCTTGATCATATCTGAGGTACGCATCGCAACGGGAATGGCTCGCAAATTAAAAAAAAAAACGAGCAGTGCAAAAAAAAAGGAAGAGGCTTACCTGAATCAAAGCTTTGGCGAAAATCGCAACAGATGGGTGGTAGTGCTTAGAAAGGAGCAACAATTCACTATCGACGAGGTTGCTACAGTCCACAAAGAGCGGATTTCGCACACCATGATTGTATGGTGACGTTGCTGATTTTGACGCTACATAAATGATCCATCATTACAAAAAAAAATTCCAAAACAAGAAAAAATACTCCAACACCAATACTTAGCACCTACCATGTTTTCTATGTATCCAACCCGGTTTGCTGACAAAATTGACACCGTTGACTCCATCAACTTTCTTCTCATCAGCCACCCCGTTAGCATCCTCTACTTGGATTTCATCTTCCACATGAAAAGGCATTAAATAAAAACTTCGCGACTTCAGTGAGCTCCGTTGAACTTCGTGAACTATCAAATAATCAAAAATTACCTCCTCCTTTTTCACTGCAGTGATAGGCTTTCCATCCGGTCCCAAATCAAAATATCTTTCCTCATCGTCATCGTCGCCAGTTGTTCTCAATTTGGCATCCACTAGTGCTACTCGCTTTAAAAGTCGGTCAAATCATTCGGATTCAAAAAAAGAAATCATCCATTCAACATACGTCAACTTGCTTTTGCAGAACAATAAGATTCTTTCTGGCTTCCAGTAATCGAGATATTAAGATAAGAATACCAGCAGCTAAAGAGGGAGTTGCAGATGTTGCAGCCTTAACATACAACCTAACAGATACTAGAAGTGTTCCAGATAAATAAAAACAAAAACCTGAAGAAGCCGCTTGACAAACGTTCGAACACGATTTTCGGAAGGATCAGCCTTCAGAACTTTGAAAACAAGCAGTAGCATTTGATTATAGCACGACGGGGGAACTTCTATTAGCAGTTTACGGTAGAGGGCAGTATAAAATCGATCTGACAGTGAGTCGCTGCAAGATAAAAATAAGAAATATATCAAGAATTGAGAGCTTTATTTGAATTCGCGGAATTCCAATGTGAATGCAGTGAGCTACTTTTTTCTTTACTCCTTTAGGGAATTGTCCAGGTGAATGCACTTCGTGGTATATATTCCCTCCCCGTGACTTGCCTGACTTTTCCAATTCTCGCTTTCAGATGTGCTTAATGGTGTACAGTGGAACTGATCACGAACTATCACTCGCTTTACCACTCTCTTTCCTGTGCTTTCAGTCCGACACCTCCTCCTCCCACTCCCTCGTTATAACCCTCGTTAAATCACTTAGTGCCACAAAAATTTCAGTTAGAAGTCAACAGAAGACAGTCTGATTTCTCAAAAGCCAGAACTGTTCACAGGCGATAATCAGAAAAGTACCTTATTTGGTGCACTTGGAATAACAACTTGAGCGTTTGCAGCGCAACAGAATAGGAACTTGTATGGACAACTTTATACAACGTATTGATATCTTCCACAAGTGAATCCGCTTTCTCTGAACATAAAATCCACTAAAAACAAATTAGCATCAAAATCAAATTGAAAAGAACCTTTTGCGAAAGGAAGTGCTCGATTTGCAGCAGATAGGAGAATCACGAGGAGTCGGTTGTCCGGAACTTTACGACAGACTAGGGTTTTGAATAGGCCAAAGTAAATCGACAGCATTTGGACAGCAAGAGCGGAATCCTCTGCTCGCAAAGTAATCTGTTGAATAAAGTATATAATCCGTCAACTCATTCACTCAAGCAGTTTAGTGAATACAAGTAGTAAAATGGCAATACGATCAAGGAAGCAAAACTGGAACTAAAATTAGGAACACGAGAAGACCAGAAGACGACTACCTACCTGGGAGAGAAACGTCGAAGCGTACATGTGAGCCTTAGGGCTGACATTTATCCTAAAAAAGATAATATTCCTTTTGAGCAGAAGAAAACATTATGTATCACACCCTGTACCTATAAATCAATCGCTCCACTTCTGCAACGATAACCGAACGCATCCTGGGTTGTCGTTTTGTCAGATCTTCAAGCAGGGTCGCAACAAACGCAGCGATATGAGTCTTTGGATGTCCCAATTTGTTGACCAACATGCTCAAAAGGAACTGAAAGAATAACTTCATCCATAAACCCAAAGAACCAAAGCTCTATGAAATCATAAACCCTTTCTCCTTCGGGACGTTCAGCAAGAAGGTTGAGAGCAGTTCGTAAAGCTCGTTTGCTGAGGTCTTCGACAACCAAAGAGGCCAAACCCTGAAATGAGCATTCTAGGAGAGACACATACGAAAAATGTATTGAAAAACGACCGAAGATATCGAGTAAATAGAAAAACGGCTCGAAATTATAAAACCAAAAAAAATTAAATTATTTTAGAAAGAAAGCAAAAAAAAAGAGAAATTCATAAAACTTTACGGTCAAACATAAGAACTTGACTACATTTCAAAGATAAACTGAATGATAACTTACACATTATAACTATCAAAAATATGCAGGTACCAAATAACGAACCTCGACTGCACGCAAGAACCTCTCATAGACAAGTTTCAGTTTATGTTCGAATCGCCACAGAACAAGCAACCTTCTTCTGCCGTCTTTGCTGTTCGAACAAATCTCTCCTATCCTTTTCAGAGGTCGCTGAGAGAAAACATTTACTTTTTCAATTCAGTTTACAGTAATACTTCTAAATTAAAATGAACAACTGTTTCGATCAAAATCGATGCATTCTTACCCCACTGAATGGAATAAGTTTCCGATCTGGTGGCAAGAAGTGGTTGAGGAAGATCTCCTCCAGGATAGCTTAAATAAAACTATGACTATTGGACCATTTGGTTGATGACGCATATAACAGAGAAGCAAACTAACGCAAGATTTCCAACGACTCTCGGGTATTCTTTTTCTCAAGCGAACTAATCATGATTTCTATATAGCATAATGAGTGCACTGGAGAGGTATGCATCTTAAATAGAACCGATATGAGCATAGATAATTCACTACAAAACCTATTGTATTACCTGAAGCTGCATAGCAGTCATACGGTCACTAGCCGTACCCTTTTTTATCACCGAAAGCAACCAAGCCGCTTCAGATCCTCCTTGGGTACGCACATCTAGAATACGCCAATTAGAAATGGATCAAAACTCAATTATCTATACTTCGGTTCTGTTTTAAAAATTTTCCGCTACGGACTGTTTAAAATAGATGGGATTGCTATCAATACTTTTTTTTGACGAAAACATTATAAAATACCAGTGCAGTCTAAAAACAAGTCTACAATTTATTCCAATCAAAAATGGACTTCAATCTTCCCAGAGTTAAACGCTTCCACGCCACATACATGAATGAGCGAGGTGGCAGTGAAAAATAACAGTGAACATGCGAACTTACGTTGATTATAAAGTTCGACATCGGCCTTGAGGCAAGCATCAGCTTCTTCCTCTAAAGCTAACAGGTCAGCAGTTGCGAGAGTATCCTTCATGGGATCGCTTATTGTTTCATTTGTCTGGAACAAAACTTTTCCCTCACGCTCTTTCTCACGGCTACTTGAAGGTAGCTGAAGCGATATAACCGAATTCGCCTACATAACTCGAGGAGCAACCTCAGAATTATCTAAACGCTACTTTCTATTGCGGAAAACATGCAAAATGTAACAACTGCCCAACGACAAATACAAAACTCAAGCCTCAGATATGACTTACTTTGAAAGAGGTCAAAAATAGAAATATGGTAAAGTAATTTGACGAACCTGATAGCTATACCATTTCTGTCCTTCATGATGTTTCACTAAAGGTCGATTTAAGCCATTTACTTTATTTTTCTTGCCATCGTTTACCATATCAACAGGCTTCACAAATTCTTTCGGCTTCCGTTCCTTCACATTTGCCTCGCCGACATTCTGCAGATAAATTTCCTGATCCTAACGGTTCTCCCGCGGTTTCCCCAAATCAAAGATTAACTTACTTTTTTGAACTTATTTTTCTTTTTCTTCATTTTCTTGAGACTTTCTGCCATCTCGTAGCTAAACATATTTGTAGCACTCAAATTTCGATGAAGCACCGATGATTTGAATGGATGGAAGCACTTTGCAATATCTAGTTGTTGGATACCATTCAGAGCAGTTTTTACACAAAATATAATAAGATTTCATTTCAGTACTCACATAGTGAACAAACTATGTGATAACATAACAATATCAGAGATGATCGAAAGGCTGTGATATACATATCCGATAAAAAANAAAAAAGAGACCTGCGCAACAAATGATCAAGCAAAACATGAAAGCGATAAAAGAAGTAGTCCACTGGGATGGCTGTGACAACCGATGGCAAAGAAAGCTCGACCAAAAGCGTCCTTCAACTGCGACCTTCTCCGAAGAAACTCACAGCAAATTGTTCGCTCAAAGTGGTGAGGTTGAATACCGGATTGATGGGCACCTGAAGCAAGTAGATAACCCAACTTGAGAGCATTCATCAGGTGTTTTCATGAGTAACACCTAGACTTTAAACAGAAAGGTGCGAACCAAATGTATTTTAAAAATCAAATACAAATTAGAATAGAATTCCTAGGTGATACATCGAATGGCAACCACAACAGGGGAGCCCCTTGCCTAAATAAAAGGAATGCGTACCACAGCGTTCTCACTCCCTCCAAGTATTCCGTCCGGTTCGCGTGTGGCCGAATAAGACTGAGCAATAGCAAGACCGCTGAGAACATAACAAGTATGGTAGAGATCTCGTGATTTGTCAGGCTTGTCGCGGAAACCACCCGCATCGTCCTTCAGGAAGAGACATTAACGGAATAAGTGAGCATTGAAATCTAACGAGAAACATACTTGGCAGCACATCAGAATATATTCTTCCAACATTCTGGCATCAAAAAGGCCTTCAGTGGGAAGGCGGCCCTGCAATGAGAGTTAATCAATGTTGACACACTGAAGTGAGCGCTGAATAAAGCATCAAGAACGGCGTCAAATACGTAAATGAGAGTGAAAAGTGCATAATGGCTGTTTGTCAAAGTAATAGAAGAGATTAGCTCAAAACTACCCTTGAAAAAATGGTCCCTGAACATATTAGCGGATTAGCAGAATGCATGTGGGAACGAACCTGCCTAGCCATCTCTCCATCGATGAGAGGGAAGTTGGCGGCTTGCCAAAAACTATAACAGCCATCCACCAATTTGTTGGTACGACCCTACAAAAGCGAATGATCGAATGAAACCAACAAAAATGGAGATTATACACACACCTGGAATCCACCTTCGAATCGCATCTGCCTTTTAGAAAGCCATTGCAGCAATAGTTCGGAATCGGCAAGACGATACCTTAAAAAGCATAAAACGGTGACGAAAGTGAACGGAACTAAGCGTTTCGTGAAAGCGAACCTATCAAGAATTACAAGACTAGCTACTCCACAAAAAGCATAACCGCCATGTGCTTCGGTCAATGGTTCACCACCAAAGCCTCCTTCATAGGTTTGACACCTAAAGCCCTTCTTAAATTAGGCAACCTAGAATGGAAAAAATTGGAGTTAATAAAAAAGAATCGGCGGGATGAAATGAATATATGCGTAAAACTTCACTTTATAACCCATTCCGCTGCACCATCCTTCAACTTGTCTGTCATGATGCCACAAAGAGCAGCAACCGCAAGAGCACAGTATGTACCACGGATATCGGCTTCGCCGCCATCGTGCATGGTGAACGAGCCATCAGGTTGTTTCATACGATGTAGAAAACGTGATAAAGAGTCTCTAAAAACCAATAATTTGGTACATACAAAAATAAATCGTGAGTAAAAATCATTTTTGACAGCCAACTCGTTACCGCAACCATACGAGAAATAGCAGTTCAAGAGAAAAGACCTACAGATTGATTGCTGCTAGAGCTTCTTCGGTTTGAAGTGAAGCTAACGCCATTACACTTGCATATGTCGGAGCTAAGTGAGCATATTGACCTGGCCCACCTGAAATAATTCTGAGAGCATAGTGGGATGTGAAGGTAATTCTAGCACCGACAAGACTCCCTTCTTACACTTAACCGAAAAATCGTATTAACCGCTCGGTCGTAAATAAGTTACCTCCAAAACCGCCATCCGGGTGCTGGCATGTTTTCAGGAAGGCAACAATTTCAGCTTTCTGAGTATGTGGCAAAGACACGCCTAGTATATTTAGGCTGTGCACTGCCCAGTAGCACATCCATGAACGGCTAGCATCCAAGCCCTTAACACTTGGATGATAAACAAACGGACTGTTGAAGCACACGGTATGGAAACAACTGCTACAGTGCAATTCTAACGAATTTAGTGGGTCATTGATGGCTTCCCTTTACCTAGTTTCAAACATCAAAAACCCCGCTCCACAGTTTCAGAAAAAGTGCAAAAGAGGAACAACTAGTTGAATATGATATGTCAAGATGCTGACATCCAAAGCTCTGACAGAAAATTAGTTCAAATACTGCTGAAACAGGGAAAGACCCCATTCTTCCCATAGTCGACCACTCATACCTTAAAGGGCTGGTGAGAGAAAGACCCCAAGTTATCCCATTCACATCATAATCAATGGAGAATTGGAAACTAAGAAAAAGTCTGAACCTACGCTATATCCACGACCACACTCTCGCAGAGATTTCGTTAAATAATCAACGTGAAGGTTTCTTTGAAGAACTGGACTTATGCGATCACTATTTTCACCAGCTTCGTAGCCTTTCATCTGATCTTCTACCAAGTCTTCAACACGCTTCTAAAGTGTAAACGTTCGTAACAATTTCACAAAGATCTACGATTGCATACCTGCTCCGTAGAAGTGAATGTGAAAAACCCATCATCGTTACAACGAAACCTTTCTTGGCACGTTCGGTAAGTTGGCATTGTAGACATCCTTCAAATAATTTTAGATTGACGGTCATGAAAAAAATACCGTACAAGAAAGCATGTGACCAAAAAAACAACTAGTTTATATTTAATCGTAAACAGTCGCGCAAACTTTTAAAGGACAACAACAATTACGGTATGGCAATAGAGCGAGTCAGCCTGAGTAGGAGGGAGGTGACAGGCGGACCATTACTAAATCCCTAAATTCCCAATTGATGAACGAGGCAATGTAGAAGAAGGGAAGAAAAATGATGACAGGCATCAGCACTGATGTGCTCTGATGGAATGCGCCACGCTTCCAAATTCTACGTGGTTCCTGAAGCATTTCAGAGGCCATCAGCTTTACTCATTGAATTACAAAGCTAGTTTTCGTTCCCGGTAAAACATCCGACNCGTAAACAGTCGCGCAAACTTTTAAAGGACAACAACAATTACGGTATCGCAATAGAGCGAGTCAGCCTGAGTAGGAGGGAGGTGACAGGCGGACCATTACTAAATCCCTAAATTCCCAATTAATGAACGAGGCAATGTAGAAGAAGGGATGAAAAATGATGACAGGCAACAGCACTGATGTGCTCTGATGGAATGCGCCACGCTTCCAAGTTCTACGTGGTTCCTGAAGCATTTCAGAGGCTATCAGCTTTACTCATTGAATTACAAAGCTAGTTTTCGTTCCCGGTAAAACATCCGACTATTGGGATCTGCTGGAATGCAGACGAGGAAAGTTCGGGTGGGGACCGATCCAGCGGGTAGCACAGCGAGTAAGGCACCTGTAGGCCATGTGCCACTTCATCGTCACAGCACAGATGAAGGCTGTCATCGCCCACGTGATTCATAGGAAAACAACAAACAAAAACTTATCAGTGCTAACACCCTTTCACCTTATTTGTTGAAAAAGATGCTTGAATGTAGCGAAAGCGCAGCTGCCAGTCGGTGTTCAAAAAAGAATTAGCAAAAATATAGTTAGAACTGATATGTAACAGCTACTCATTTTGCCTCTTGTTGGCATGAACTGCAGTGTTTAATCAACTCTTCAAAGTTAACCACAAGTGATCCTTCAATTTGGGCTTGAGGAGACTAACATAAGATACTTACTCCTTATCACCATGTAAAAGACTCAACTGATTACAAAATTTTACTCGAAGCAAAAGTAGTTCAAGATGATTTATTTATAGAATGAAGAGCACAGGACAGCACCTTTGTGGTTGATCAATCTCATTCCTTTTATGCGCCCTGCATAAGACTCCATTTAGAATCGCAGTGACGTTTGAATGTGTTCGTGTCCCTACAATGACTTGCGGTGGCCAGCTGGCGTATATGGTACCAGTTAAACATTACCCAGAGAAATGGAAAGTGTGGTTGGCTTAAGCGGACATCCATCGGGATTTGAACCCGTAAACATGCATGTGTGTAGTACGCCACTTGTCACTACACCGTTTTCGCCCCCACACCGACCTATGTACGACATGCATTTAACTTCCAGCTAGAATTATAATTGCACCTAACAACAGGATGACACTATTTTTTGCCTAACAAATAAATAAACAAAAGCAATGAGCTATGGCATAAAAGCTATCATGGAGGCGAGGGTTAGCGAGGTCTCGATAGTGTAAAGGGTAAAGAGCACGGTGCTTTGAAGAGCACATGTATGGGTACGAGTACCATCCAAGGGCGAGAATTCGCAGACAAGTCACCATCCTCGTGAGACCAAAAATTAGATACGATCTTGCTCAGAGTTGGTTCCAAAGAATTAGAAGACATAAAGGATGTACACAAGAATTTTGCCGAGGGACCAAAGGGTGTTCTACTTTACTCTACTTCTACCCGAACAACGTGCCAAACACGTCGCATACAATCACACACTGGGAAGGGCAAGCTGCGTATTCCCAGTGGAAGATTACGGTAATTTCCGCGAAATCACTGCCGCTCGCTGTGGGGATTTGGGTACAGAGTCGTCCCCCAGGACTAAACTCCCCGATGACTATTTGGGAAGCCATATTTACAGACAGATATTCGTCTGCCGCCACAACCGCTTCTGCAATGCAATCACAAATAAATAAACAAGATTTATTAGAAAAATCAAAATCAAAAAATTAAGGGTAACTCAAACGTAAAGCACCTATGATGCATCAGAAAGGTACAAATGCGAAGCAATTCGTACTTAATACACGTACAAATATATCTCAGGCATTTAGCTTCTATACTTCTTGCGAGATCCTTCGACGACTTTATCGTCTCAGCTATTCCGTATACCAGTTCGCATATTCTTCATTCGATCGATACCTATCGCTTGCACTACCCTGTAAAAATATACTGATGATCTCGCCGGAAATTTCCTTGCTTGGGAAGTTTTCAAGTAAGAAGAATAAGCAAGTAAACAAATATACATAAAAAAATAATCATAATCAAGATAGCCTTTTGAGTACGTAAACAAATGAACAAACAAATAAATAAATAAGCAATAAGTAATGTATTGAAAACGAATATATAAGGATATGGAAATGATAATGAGGCAGAAGAAATTTGCGTATTAAAATGCGCCATGAACTCGACTAGAAGTGAATTTTGTAGAAGTAGGCCCCTTAGGGACTTGGAAGAAATTGATCCTACAGGCTGAACAATTGAAATGTAGCGCCGCTGCCAACTACGCTACAGCCTGTTCCAGTAACACATTACGGAAATGTTTTGTAAGGATGAAGCTATAGACCTTGAACTAGATAGAACATGCACAAAAACCCCAAGACTTGCAACAATGCCCTACCCAAAAAGAATTTTAGCCACGCCTCCAAAAATCAATATTACGGAACAAGGAATCTGGGGAGGGGAAAGAAACAGATTCAAAATTGGAATCCAATTCTCTGAACGAAATTGGAGTTTACCCGAATTCTTTTGAATAAAATAATTGGATACGATCGGAACCTAAAGAAACACTGGCTAACCATCTATTCTCAGGAGTTATAAAGAACTTTATTGTGTATAGAAAACCTTTCGGACCCCTTCGAAAGACAAATTAGACTTAAAGGTCTAGTTGATTCAATTACACGATTTAATGAAGGTTCTAATAAGGCATATTAATTTATTTCCAAATTAGTCTCGACAGCGAGCGGATCGAGCCGTACCTGTTGGTGATTCCAGGCATGACAATACTACAGTAGCACAGAAGTAATACCGGGGCTGTTTGACTCAGCCAACATTCGGAAATACGATTCGAAGCGGCCAGTAGGATCAGTTGAGCACATCGAGCAGCTGACATATGCGCCGCGGTCGCTTCAACTGCAACTTCGCCATTCGTCTGAAAAGAAGCTTAGTGAACAACCGAGTGGCATCATTTTAGGTGTGCTCAGGGTGCCAATATGGTCGCCTCGCCTATATGTGCCATTTTGCTAGCTGTGTCAGGACCCTCCATTTTTTCATGGTTAAATTGAAGGTCCTGACACGATTAGGCGATCCTGCCGCGCGCGCGGCGACCCAGTTCCGACGAGATGACCTCAATGACACTTCCTCACCCATCCTCCCCTTTTTGCGTCTTAAGCTACAATAAGCAATATACCTTTGAGAGATCGTCAGAAAACGCATTCATCACATTTTCTGGAGCAAATGTCAGTGCTGGACATACAATAGACACATTTATACCTCTAGAGGTATATTCCAAAGCGAGTACTCGGAAATAGCCCTGAAAATGAGGAATAGTCAGAAAATGGGAGCTCCACAAATAATTTAAAGAGAAATTTGCAGAAGAAAAGGAAAAAGAGGAAAGCTTTGATTGGCCAGGGAGCTCGTAACATCGAGAAGAACGAAAGATGGATTGGGAATTTTGGGAGCATTATGTTTATAATTAGCTCAAGCGAGAGAAGTCGAAAAAAAGGAAAAAACTAAAATTAATCCAAGAAATAACAATTTAATAATAACAGAACTGATGTAAACAAATGGATGTCGAAATTAAAGCATTGATTTCATCTCATCCCTACTTTAGACCATCACGATACTTACAGTTAGGTTCAGTTGAAAGTACTTTCCTTACCATTAGAGCATGTTTAGCAGCCGTATACGAGGGCGACAATATCGTGCCGATAATTCCGGCCACACTGCTCACGACAACGAAATGAGTAGGAGGCAAGTGTCCTAGAAGAAAAGTATCAAAGCGTAAGATCTCTCATAGAAGTATCCTCAGAAACAAAAAGGAACAAAAAACGAGTATGAACGACGTTGGCGCAGTCGCGCAACACGGCGGTGCAGTCTCATCTACGGAACGTGCCGCGACCGCACGCGTCACCCCGTTGTAAGGCAGTTGTTCTAAAAAATTGTCGAAATTCACGCTTGTGTGTCTTTTCAAGAGTAGTTGTAAGTTAATGATTTCAAGCTTATGCCATCAGTACAAGGAGAAATTCATGCATAGCAGGACTAATACGTGAGCGAAGACTGCCGCGCGCGGTCTTGTCACGGCGGTACCTCCACTTTACAGTTACTATTGGTTAGTTGAATATTCTATTGAAAAGACTAGTTTTGCGAAGGGATGTCCAAAGGGTGTACCCTCGCTCCCTCTTGCATCACCGGGGGAGCCGCCGCAACGCAACCGCTCGCGACTACGCCTGTCTGACACAGCATTATTTGAATGTGCTGCATTTTGTATACCTTTCTCATCTGGTTCCAATGTCTTGAGATATTCTCTTGCCAGAACTGTTGGTCCAAGAGCATTCACCCGGAAGCAAGCCTCGTCCACCTTTGGATCTATCGATATCCATTCGGCACGTTGCGATTGACCACAACACAGTATGATCACGTCGACCTGAGAAGCAATCAATATTCTCGAGCGTTCCTATCAAATATGTCATCACACGGCTCACTGGATGCGCCATGTACCTCACATCTAGGACGTTTACATGGGTCAGTTCAATAAGCAGCAAAAAAGTTACCGAATAAGGGGTTTTGATCAGGTTAACGTGCTGACACTATGTGATGCTTTTGTAATGCTTTGAATCTCGAATTTCTGAAGCACTACTAGTGCCGTACCTTTCCAAAAAACGACTTGACTTTTCGACAAGACTCTGCTACTTGCCCAAAATTGGTCACATCCAACGGAAACACAACAGATGACCTGGTGGACGACTTTTCTGAAAACATTGATCTTTGCTAGTGAGCCTAATCGGCTCTCAAGTAATTCTTCTTACCATCACATTTTCCCTTCAATTCGTCCAACTTTTCTTTTCGTCGAGCTGATAGAATGATACTACATTCCAGTTGAGCCAAACGTAATACCAACTCGGCTCCGATACCAGAACTACAGCCGATCACCCAGATAGTTTTTCCACGAAAATATCTCTCTGTAATATACCCGTAGAGATTAATGCGATCATTTCAAGACATTAACCTCATGTAATGAATAAATTGATAAATTAACTGATCAGCAATTTTTTCGATGACCAAAGACAGTCAATGGCAGAAAGACGCTTGGCTGGACTTCAAAGATTCGAATGCTTCCAAAGAAAAGTGAGGGGAGCACCCTGTTTCTATGAACTCACTCAGCTGCTATCACAAAGATGTCAGAGGAAGGACAAATCCGAGTAAGGGCAAGGACGTGCCACAAAATCATGTAGGTCATTGAGTGCTTGGCCATAGTGCAAGGTGAATGCTTCTTAAAAAAGTAGCCTAGACACTAACACTCCTCAGTTAATACAACACCTTCCCTCTGAACCCATACTGCTCATTTATTGAATTGAACGACGGCAAACGGAGGTGACTTGAAAAAAGAAATCACCCTTCACCGAGGTTCTGGCGTCGGTGAGCAGGTAATTGCCCAGATTAGGTAAAAAGATAAAGTCTTCGGCGTTAAGAAATCCCATTTTGGGATGCACCCCAGCAATCGACTCTCATTCAGAATCGTTTCGTTGCTAACGCTAATGAGGCCTTTGCAATGACTTGTAGTGGCTAGCCGATGTACAAATCATGCCTTTATTCTCCTAGATGAGTCTGCTACCAACTAATCGACCTCGGAGGGATGGAATGCCTGTTTGGCTTGGGTTGATATCGACCCGGGATTCGATCCCTCGAAAGTGCGGGTGTGATAGTGCGCCTCTTGCCACTACTAGGATCAGTAAACCTATAATAAGTAGCACGAGGTGTCTATCTTTAATATAAATACGTGATGCGCACTCTGGTAAACGACCCTAGGGCACCTCAAGAGGTTGAGAAATTTCTCAAATCAAAGAATCGAACCTCTCAGCATTTTTTATTACAACATGACTTATGGCTTGGGTGAGACGAAGTACTACTCAAGGTCAACAATGTCAACTATGTGACTCATGAAGTCTTACTCATCTTTCGCACCAGGTGGTTACTACAAACCAGTATTCGTCCCCCAGCTGGTGAGGACTGCAGTACTCCAGGCAAACACTAAAAACAGGTCACCAAAGCATCCTAGCTGAACTCTATAGTAAAGAAAACAATTGAAATAGCTCAAAAAATGAGTTATTCCCCTGTTGCTCTACAGGACAAGGTAATGATCCAGATTCTAGGGCTTTGCCACTTCAAAAAATCAGTATGCTAGTGCTAATGTCGGTCGGTTAGCATCGTAGTTGTCCAGAAGAATGACCTGAAGCTTTCGGACCACCGAATATGCGTAGTCACACCTTTTTCTCTTGAGAATCGAAAACGGAAGAGCGGTGAGCTAACAAAGATTCGTTAGGCCCTGGTCGGGACTGGCCACCAAGTCGCCCCGTCGAAGCTAGAACGCTTCTGTGGCCTTCATCAGTCGTACCAAAATTCTCTGCTCTTGATCCACAGGATATGATGGGTCATGAAACTACTGGCCGAGATCACCAATCCCAGAGTGACCTGGTTTCAGTGGCACGTCCTGCCCCATACCCCTATTTTCCCTTTCCTACGACTATTTTATGATTGCGTGCCCGCAGAGGGTGGATCTTCTTCGTGGCACGCAATGGGCGTTAAATCCTTCATGGTTGAATGCGTTAAGGCCGAAAACACTTAGCAAATCTGAGCTGGGGCGATCTTTCCCTTGCCGAAAACAATCGTGCTCGTAATTGAGATAAATTGCCGGCGGCCATACTACGTCGGCGATCCCCAATGTTAAAGCTTTCTGTCAATCTTTTGCATCGTTCGCTTTCCGGCACGGAAACGACCGTGATTTATTGGGCAGATTGTGCAAATTGGCGTGAGATTCGTCGATCGTTCGTAACGATAAATACACTGAATTGGTATTTTATTTGTTCTATCAATCTTGGTGGAAAAAATAAATGACCTTGAAGTTTTCTGGAATACTTCCACTCGGGACAGTTATATGTAAAACTCCAGGAAGTTATAAAAGACGATTCGGTAATAAATTATTTCGACTTCTAACCGGAATCGTAAAGGATTGGATACGGTCTACATATTGATTCGAGCAGCAGGAACAGTACTTCGTTTCCTTTCAAATGTCTAATCTCGAAGGATTGAGAGGGTTGAGGCCTAGACGATCCTTGAAAAAAGGTTTAGAATTAAGGCTAAAAGACCGCGTAGGCCATGTACGGGGGTTATAGCCGCTCCGCTCTACATTCGTTTATTTGTTTATTCGTTAACATAAGTATGTAGTAAATATTAGAATCGAAAAGGCAGCGCAAGGAACTCTCAAAAGACTTGAAATGGCAGGGTAAAGAAGCCCTTTAATTAACGAAATTCTAGTTTTTTCTGCGATACGTGACTGCGATTCTCTTAATTTTGTCTTTCATCTATGTTATCCAGGGGTGCTAGTGGAGAAAGCTTCTCGTTAGAGATATGCGGTAGAGCTTCCGGCTTTCTCTGCAGAATGAAGGGCAACGGGGCTCAAAAGTTCTTTTGGAAGAACACTTTGCGATAGTTTCACGGTCCTTCCCCCGGTTTCAGGTAGAAGTATC